CCGAGGGAACTATGGACCTATCAGCAAAACATCAGTGGTAGGAAAGATAATTGAATCCTTACTGAAAGAGGTAATAGAAAAATATCTGGAAACAGAAAACATAATAAAGAATAGTAAGCAAGGATTTCAAAAAGGAAGGTCATGCTTGATCAACCTCATTGAATTCTTCGAAGGGGTAACAGAAAGAGTAGACAAGGGTAATGCGGTAGATAATAATAATAATCCTTGCATTTGATATAGCGCTTTTCACGTCTTATCGACGTCTCAAAGCGCTTCACAGAATATACTATAAAGTGAATTGACTGTATATTTGTGGGCGAACGCGGCAGCCAATTGCGCACAGCAGTGTCACACAAACAGTTGTGGATTGAAAATGACCAATTTATTATTGTTTTGTTTTGGAGGGAATATTATTAGGCGTGTGGAGTAAGGAAACTTGCCCAAGGTTTCGCCCTGCCTGGAATTGAACTCAGGTCTCTCGCTTGCAAAGGGAGTGCTCTAACCACTGAGCTACAGGACTCCACATATATATAGATGTAATATATTTAGATTTGCAAAGGCGTTCGATAAGGTACCACATAATAGACTAATGAATAAGGTTAGAGCATGTGGAGTTCGGGGAAAAATAGTAGAATGGATAGCAAGCTGGCTGCAAAACAGAAAACAGAGTAGGAGTAAAGGGTAGCTACTCAGACTGGAAGGGTGTGGGCAGTGGTGTTCCACAAGGATCGGTATTGGGACCACTGTTGTTCACAATATACATTAATGATTTAGATTCGGGAATCAGCAATACAATTTCAAAATTTGCAGACGACACCAAGTTGGGGGGAGTAGTTAATACAAAGGACGACTGCAACAAATTTCAGCAAGATGTTAATAAACTTGCTGAGTGGGCATTTAAATGGCAAATGCATTTCAATGTAGAAAAGTGTGAGGTGGTACATTTTGGTAGAAGGAATAAGGAAGTCACATAAATCCTGGAAAATAATAACCTATATGGGGTAGAGGAGCAAAGGGACCTAGGGGTACACATACACAAGCCATTAAAAGTAGCAACACAGATTAATAAGGCTATGAAAAAGCAAACCAGGCATTGAGATTCATTTCTAGAGGGATAAAAATGAAAAGAAGGGAAGTTATGGTAAACTGCTACAGAGCCTTGGTTAGACCACAGAATACCGTGTGCAGTTCTGGTCCCCATATTATAGAAGGGATGTAGAGGCACTGGAGAGGGTGCAAAGTAGATTCCCAAGGATGATCCCAGAACTGAGAGGTTATGCCTATCAGGAAAGGCTGAATATACTTGGACTCTTTTCCCTTGAAAAGAGGGTAAGGGGTGACCTGATAGAGGTCTTTAAAATGATGAAAGGTTTTGATAGGGTAGACATAGGGAAGATGTTTCCACTTGTGAGGGAGACCAAAACCAGGGGCCATCAATATAAAATAGTCACAAATAATAATAATAATAATCCTTGCATTTGATATAGCATTTTTTCATGTCTTCTTGACGTTTCAAAGCGCTTCACAGAATAGACTGTAAAGTGGATTGACCGTATATTTAGATCAAATAGGGAAGTTAGAAGAAATTTCTTCACACAGAGAGTAGTGGGAATGTGGAACATGTTACCACAAGGAGTTGTTGAGGCAAATAGCATAAATGTATTGAAGGGAAAGCTCGATAGGTACATGAAGGAGAAAGGAATAGAAGGTTATGCTTGAAGGCTTAGTTGAGGAAGAGCAGGAGGAGGCTGATGTGGAGTATAAACACTGGCATAGACCAGTTGGGCTGAATGGCTTGTTTCTGTGCTGTATATTTTAATGTATTCTAATGTAAATCCTTTGACATACATTACAAATTATCTGTGTTTAATAACTGTGATCATTAATATAATTAACAGCTTGTACAAAATTGCAAAACAAATAGATAAAGTGGGAAATAAAAATAGATCTGTATTGTAATTTTAATTTAATTCTGTTGCCTCTTAGCGATATTTGCTTACATGCAGGTATGATTTTATAATATATACAACATTGTATTGTGTGCACAGTGAGGGACTGGTGGTAGCTTTCCTATCATAATACGCTCTAACCTCCCCACCTCACTATACACACATTGTCTACATTAAAATTAAACTTCATAGCAGTGTCCCACAAACAGTCATGGATTGAAGTGACCAATAAATTATAGTTCTTTTCTTAAGGGATTATTATCAGGCATGGTGTAACGAAACTTGCCCAACGTTTTGCCTTGCTGGGAATCAAGCCCAGGTCTCTCATCTGTGAGGCAAGTGCTCTAACCACAGATGATATCCTGGAACAAGCCATGCACGATACATCATGCTACCACTTCACTAAGAACATTGCACTATAACTCTAAGTTATGAAGCTCAGGCTATTGGTGTATTTCGGTTAGACCTTGTCAGTTCCAGCTCAGTGCTGAGTTCCTATTGCAGATTTCCACTGCTATGCCCATTACAGCATGAATGAAGTGCTTGGAGACGTCTTCCCAACAGGTAAGGCACTATAACAAATTATTATTGAATAAAATACAGCAAATCAAACTTGCAGCCTTCCTGATGGCTGAGTAGGTAAATGGGTTTTGTGTGGGACTGAACACTACAGTCAGGAATTCCTTTTTTTTTCTCAGTTTTCTGACACATGTAGAAACCTATTACCATGCTTAATAGTATCCAAACTAAGCTGAGATTTCCATGCATCTTACCTACACATGGAAATCCCAGAGATAGATTGTTGGAATGGAATGTGCACTCTCTCCCTGGAGGGACACATTCTGCTCACCTAATTCCAGAAAGTATTAGGCGCAGGTTGTCAAGAGCACAGAGTGTGCGTTGGAGTACTCCTGGAGTTTAACCATCTAAAACTGTTTAGTTTGCTATTGATATTGCTTTTGGTCAGCCTGGTGTCTGACACATGCGGAAACCCATCACTATACTTAAGAGTATCCAAGCCAGCTTTCCTACTGCTTGTCCAGCTAGGACTCACCCGTTAGGGCTTTGATTTGCAAGGTTAACAGGAGCTAAGTGGGATGACTCCCTGATCCCAGTGACTGTTCTGTCCTTTCAGGTCCTGCCGATGAACCAGGCTGTGGTGTGCTGTCCTCAACAGTGCCCCGCGGATATGCCTGGCTCAGGAACCGGACTATCGAGACCACCACAGAGGGCTGGCTTGATTCCAACATACCATTGCCAGGCATGTCACTTTGGAGCCAGTTCAGCTCCAAGGATACTCCGCTTACCTTCCCCCACCCCCGCCCCCAGGATAATTCCTGCTGAGTTAGCTGGTTGTACCCCAGCAGTAAGACGCATATTACTATTGATGCCAGCATCTCTGGTTTGAGGAGGGGAAAGTCAGCTCAAGTTATAATGCATAACATATATTAAAATATGCAGTCAATTCACTTTACAGAATATTCTGTGAAGCGTTTTGAGACATGTCAAAGAGTGATAAGGCCTATACAAATAAAGGATTATAACCCTTCATAGAAGCTGAGTGCGTGATCTCCCCTGCTAGTAACTGAATGTGT